GAGAACGAAGAGCGCCCCAGCCAAAAAAACTTCAGAGCAATGTTTCTCAGGTAAAACGAAGCCTACATGCCAAAATTCAGCTATTTTTGAGCACTTTCATAATGGCCAAAAAATCTAGGGGACGTTCTTGCATGCAGCCTTTCAATTGAATGGCTTGGTGCAAGACTGACGTAAGTGACTTTTTCGGGTGAAAAATGATTTTTTTGTTCAAAAGAGCCCGAATTTTTGCATGTCGTCTTCAATTGAGTAGAAGAGCATAGCCCTGTACAATTTTTTAGCTGGTTTGCGCTTTGTCTTTGGAAAAAAAAGAACCATTAGGACAACGGTGACTTCAAAACAATAATACAGGGCTGCAAAACGAAATGGATGAACATGGGCCTTAAAAAAAGATGAGCCTATAACTTGACAGTTACAGTCAAGGTAACATAACCCCACGGCTAGCGTTAGACCTAAAAGCAAACCCTAACCCTTGGCCTAGGGTTAGCATCTAGTGTTAGGGTTACCGTTTTAGCGCTAGGGTTTAGGGTTAAGGCTAGGGCTAGGGCTAGGGCTTAGGGTTAGAGTCAGAGTCTCTAAACACTTTGTGCTAGGGTTAGTTCTATTTTGGTACTAGCCTAGGGAAAATAATAAAACAAGAAAACGCTTCATTTCATAAACACAGCATGATCGTGAATCTAAATAAAGTCAACGACCCATGTCTATTAGCGGTGGTTACCTATCTTCTGAGAGTGAAACGTATTGCAATCAGTGAAAACATGAAACTCGTTTAGAACAAAAAAGAGTTCAGTTTGCATTCTTTCAAAAAAAAAGTGAAAATCACTAGTGAAATGTGACATTTCATAGGTGCTATTGCGATGATGTAAAACATTTTGAAACGCAATGTGCTATAACAGCGATGCTTGCCATTACTTTGAGTGTGTGACGAACAACAAATACCTTATAAAACATATTTCGTGAAACGTTTTGCAACCAGTGAAAACATGAAACTCTTTTAGAACAAAAAAGAGCTCGGTTTGCATTCTTTGAAAAAAAAGTGAAAATCACCAGCGAAATGCGACGTTTCATAGGTGCTACTGCGATGTAAAACGTTTTGAAATTCAATGAGCTATAACAGCGCAGCTTGCGATTACTTTAACTGCGTGACGAACAACAAATACCTTATAGAACATATTTCGTGAAATGTTGCCACAAGGAATCAACGCTTGACATTCGAAGAAAGACGATTTTTCCGAATTACAGTACTTGAACAGCTGAGTCAATCTGACACTGCTCTGTCTCAGCGATAATTAAATACCATGTATATTTGTGAAAACACTGAACTGAATCTAAGTGGGAAAACCGAAAACAAACGGAAAATATATAGCAAAAGGAATGGCATATTTAAAGAAAAAAGACTTACACTGTTGTCTCTTTCTCTCGCCATCTTCTAACCTCACAAACGAATCATTCCATTGGGAGTCCATCATAATAAAGGCAAGCGATCGAAAGCCGCTAGTCCATAATATGATTGGCATTTGTTTGCCCCAGTTCCCGAAAGGTCAACTGTCACACTGTAACACAACAATGGTCAACAATCGCGACTTNTAGGGTTACCAATTTAGTGCTAGGGTTTAGGGTTAAGGCTAGGGTTAAGGCTAGGGCTAGGGCTAGGGCTTAGGGTTAGAGTCTTGAAACACTTTGTGCTAGGGTTAGTTCTATTTTGTGACAAACAACAAATACCTTATAAAACATATTTTGTGAAACGTTTTGCAATGAGTGAAAACATGAAACTCTTTTAGAACAAAAAAGAGTTCGGTTTGCATTCTTTCAAAAAAAAGTGAAAATCACTAGCGAAATGCGACATTTCATAGGTGCTACTGCGATGTAAAACGTTTTGAAATTCAATGAGCTATAACAGTGCAGTTAGCCATAACTTTGACTGCGTGACGAACAATAAATACCTTATAAAACATATTTCGTGAAATGTTGCCACAAGGAATTAACGCTTGACATTCGAAGAAGACGATTTTTCCGAATTACAGTACTTGAATGGCTGAGTCAATCTGAAATTGCTCCGTCTCTGTGATAATTAAATACCCTGTATATTTGTGAAAACACTGAACTGAATCTAAGTGGGAAAACCGAAAACAAACGGAAAATATATAGCAAAAGGAATGGCATATTTAAAGAAAAAAGACTTACACAGTTGTCTCTTTCTCTCGCCATCTCCTAACCTCACAAACGAATCATTCTATTGGGATTCCATGATAATAAAGGCAAGCGATCGAAAGCCGCTAGTCCATAATATGATTGGCGTTTGTCTGCCCCAGTTCCCAAAAGGTCAACTGTCACACTGTAACACAACAATGGTCAACAATCGCGCCTTTGGATCAATCATTTCTCTTACATGAAAACATTGGC